TTTAAGTTTCCCGTCTGGGGCCTCAAATGATAATGACCTCTTCACTAATTAAGCTACATTTGAATGCTTCCGCGTAAAATTCCGCGAAATGTCATGTAAAGGTGCAAGACAGTTCGGACGAGATAGAAAAATTTAGCATGGGGTATGACGTGGGATATCACTGTCTTAGGTGCGAGAAAAGTGTGCCTGGTAGATCGGGGGAGGGGATATTTTTATTAAAATTATTTATCTTATTTAACTAATTAGGTTCATATGTACTGGTGCATAACAAATCTTAAATTTGATTTAAAAAAAAAACGAATTTGTTTGCGACTGTAGATAACAAATATTTACGATCAGTACACTACCAAAGGGTCATAATCGTACAGCAATTTAAGAGTAGTTGAGGTTCGGGTGTAGTAGTCTAGGTATGATGCGTGTCTACGACTGCGCGGTACATCTACTTTCTATTTAATACCAATACACGGTTTAGCAGTGTTAGATTTCAGTTTTTGACTCTACAGTTGACTTCACCTTTATAAGGACAACGCAGCTAAGGTAAGTTGCTTTTGCAGAGAATGGTTTTCAATAAATAACATACATCTACATCCTAACGTAGAGCTTTCTTTCAGAATGGGATACAAGACGTTACATTAATATACTCCAGCAATAACATACGTTTGATTAGATAGTCAAGAGCTCGCTCCTTTTGTCATGACTTCCGTGATAAATGTCGCCTGCTGAGGGACCGACTTACAACCTGTGGTGATGTAGGTTGATCAGAGGGACCGACTTACAACCTATAGTGATGTAGGTTGATCAGAGGGACCGACTTACAACCTGTGGTGATGTAGGTTGATAAAGACTAGGGACTTATGGTCCCTATCATAATTGCATAGGTAGTCATGTTATTTCTGTGTGTTATGCAGGATGCTGTTTTAAACTATGTTCATTAGAGTCCCTTGGGGTCGTCTTTTCATTGCTACACGTGTTCTCGAGGTGAGGACGGACATTACTTGGATTTAACCTAGATTTACATATCAGGTGTCGTCGATGATGTGATGTAAATCTTTCGTTTCTTCATATGTCCCCGTTTTACAGATTTAGAGTCCGAATTATTGTTTCGTTTACGTGTTGTTGTTTATTTATGTTTCTCAATCTTACACCAGTACTTGTACAATCTTCCATGGGAAATTATATTTTGTGTTTACTTCACGGAGTCCTTTTCTTTGATGTTGATTTTTCTGGTTTATTGTTGATATTTTTATGTATCATTGCTATCATGGTATGTTGACAATATGATGTTGATTTCTCTGGTTTATTGTTGATATTGTTATGTATCATTGCTATCATGGTATGTTGACAATATGATGTTGTTTCCCTGGTTTATTGTTGATATTGTTATGTATCATTGCTATCATGGTATGTTGACAATATGATGTTGATTTCTCTGGTTTATTGTTGATATTGTTATGCATCATTGCTATCATGGTATGTTGACAATATGATGTTGTTTTCTCTGGTTTATTGTTGATAATGTTATGTATCATTGCTCTCATGGTATGTTGACAATATGATGTTGTTTCTAGCTAATGGTGTCGAGATATTCCGAATCATTTTGGAAGCTTATTATTTAAGCTGCTGATCTAAATTCTATAATTCATGCTCCACTCTGTCCTGTTTTGCTAGTTTACCGTGCCTCTCAATAAAGCGATATATAAATAAACAATTAGAAGTAGACGAAGTGATCAGTTCTGAGCTGTGATAAAGGCATTTAGTAATTTAGAAACATTATTAAGTGTTAATGGAAATCATGAGTATACTTTCGACAAATCGAAAATTATGACATTGGTGGTCCCGGGCATATATATGCGTATGCTTCTAAAAAACAAATCAATAAACTCCAATCAAATCGATGTAAAATATGAATTGATGACGAGAATATAAACTAATAGTATGTCAACATAGTCAGAACGCATTGATTGTTACATGTATGTAAGACCTTCCAGCTTAAGAAATGAGCTTTTTATCATCGAATACAGCATTCTGAGTCACACAGCCGCCAACACCAAGGTCTGACAACCATTACTGGTAGGAAGATGTGGCAATGACAAGTGTTCGGTGTTACTTTTTATAACGGTGATTTATGCAGCTATGAACATATATAAGCGGTGGTTTGTGATCACTTATTTACTTAAATCAACATTTTATCCTAAATCAAAACACTTCCTGTTAATCTACTATAAAGTAAACGTTAGTGTTAAACTCCTACATTGACCAGTGAGGTACTTGTCAAACTTGTTACTTTTATGTAATAATGACAAGAAGCAATGTCCAAGTTTACATTAATATAATAATAAGGTGTAGATAATGATTTATTTATATGTTAAATATATGTTGATGAATTATAAACAGCATGGTTTTGAATTCTAATATATTCATCTCTAAAGGACTCTCTTCCTATGCTTTCTTGGATACATACAAATATACACTTTTATGTAAAGATGGGTTATTTTTGTAGATTAACTGATATGCGGTGATTAAGGATAGCGGCTTTTGTCTGTGGAACTCGTTTAAGTTGAGGCAAAGTCGGATTTCATTGTAGCGTCTACACGTGCATTAGCTTTGATATGTGATGTCTGTAAACATCATTTCCATTTCGGACGTATGAACACAATTTATATATTCAATATTCACCTACTCATTAGGCGTGAAGATAACGTCCATAGTGTTAAACTGTACTGTTCATCTGCGGCTGATACCGATAGGGGAGACTTACATTAAACTTACCAGAGGTTGACGAGATGATGGCATGGCTCTCTGCGTGTTGTACTAAATCTAAATCTACATCTAAATATATTTCATTGACGCTAGATCGCTGGAATTAATACGCCTTGACTCCCGAAAAAGATGGATGATTGATATGAAGAATTTAAACGGGGACCCTATTACCAGCACTGTATTAAGGTAGGATCGGAGTTGTGGTAATAGATATCAGCTGAGTTAACGTGCGTTTTAATGTTATTGTTTTTTTCTCTTAAAGGATGATATGGTACATGTATCGGTAGCTTGGTTTGGTTTGTTTGTGTTTTACGTCCTTTTAACAGCTATGGTCATTAAAGGACATGGGTTTCGGCGGTGGAGGAAGGCCGGAGTTCCCGGAGAAAAAAACACCGACATGCAGTCAGTACCTGGCGACTGTCCCATATAGGTCTCGAACCCGCAACCCAGTAGTGGAGGGCTAGTGGTAGCAGAATGTCAGACGCCTTATCCACTTAACCACCCCGGCCCCTTGGTATCGGTATAGCTACCATAAAAAAGGCCGAGAGGTCGAGCATTCCACGGATATTGGGCCCCCTTCCAAATTACAGGAGGATCAAAGATAAACCAAAAACCGGATATGTCACATAAATCAATTAACTATTATACAAACGTTCAGTATGTTTAGACAGAAAATGCAGTCTGGATAAGACCATATATCAAGTTCTTCTTACGCAACGTCACTAGAACGTTCCGTTTAATGTGTTATGATGTCACATCCAGACCGTCACACCGCATGGTGGTTTGTACTAGATTATACCAATATATACTGAGAGAGCAAACGTTCCTACATCAATATTACACCAATTTTCTTTTAGCATGTAGTGTTAATTTTTTTTTATTATACATTTTATTGGCGAAAGATTCCCCATTTACTTACTCATGTGTACGACAAGTTAGGTTCATAAAAAAAGCGTCGGACGTCCGCTATTTTAAGTTTTGTAGTTAACCCCTAAAACATGTAGTTAATTACCCCTTATCGACATGAGGCCGGGTGTAAGTATATTTATAAACAGAGCTCGCACTAGCATGTAGTGTAACTGACCCTCGCATACTACCCGTATCTATTTATAAAAAAACCTTACACTAGCATGTAGTGTAACTGACCCTCGCATACTACCCGTATCTATTTATAAACAGACCTTACACTAGCATGTAGTGTAACTGACCCTCGCATACTACCTGTATTTATTTATAAACAGACCTTACACTAGCATGTAGTGTAACTGACCCTCGCATACTACCAGTATCTAATTATAAACAGAGCCCACACTAGCATGTAGTGAACTAACCCTCGCATACTACCCGTATCTATTTATAAACAGACCTTACACTAGAATGTAGGGTAACTGACCCTCGCATACTACCTGTATTTATTTATAAACAGACCTTACACTAGCATGTAGGGTAACTGACCCTCGCATACTACCCGTATCTATTTATAAAAAAAACTTACACTAGCATGTAGTGTAACTGACCCTCGCGTACTACCCGTATCTAATTATAAACAGAGCCCACACTAGCATGTAGTGTAACTGACCCTCGCATACTACCCGTATCTAATTATAAACAGAGCTCACACAAGCATGTAGTGTAACTGACCCTCTCATACTACCCGTATCTTATTATAAACAGAGCCCACACTAGCATGTAGTGTAACTGACCCTCGGATACTACCCGTATCTATTTATAAACAGAGCTCGCACTAGCATGTAGTGTAACTAACCCTCGCATACTACCCGTGTCTATTTATAAACAGACCTTACACTAGCATGTAGTGTAACTGACCCTCGGATACTACCCGTATCTATTTAAAAACAGAGCTCGCACTAGCATGTAGTGTAACTAACACTCGCATACTACCCGTGTCTATTTATAAACAGACCTTACACTAGCATGTAGTGTAACTGACCCTCGCATACTACAATATATGTACCCGTATCTATTTATAAACAGAGCTCGCACTAGCATGTAGTGTAACTGACCCTCGCATACTACAATATATGTACCCGTTTCTATTTACTATTTACTACATTGGTTGGCTTTACATAGAGTTCACACTAAAGTCCTTACTTTATCAATTTTTAAGTTAAATAGCATACCAGTTTGACGAACCATATCCGTCTTCAGGGAACCAGGACGTAAATAGGGTAAGCACCCTGCTGAGCTCTACTTTCACGGGTCCACACATGTACATATATTTTTTGACTAATTTCTGTTAATAACCTTTAGCAGAAAATCGATTTTCGACATGAATACAAATCAACGCCATCCTTCGATCATAACATATTGCCTGGTGTATATGATTACGGATTTATTGTTAATTTATCAGTAATATTTTTTCTCGAACCGCACCTCCTGACAAGTTACAACGACATTATTTCTGTCCGCTAGCTATGCATCGTTACTGCACAGCTGTCCACTAGCTATGCATCATTACTGCACAACTTCTGTCCGCTAGCTTTGCATCGTTCCTGCACAGCTGTCCACTAGCTATGCATTATTAATGTACAACTGTCCACTAGCTATGCATTTCTGCTAGCTATGCAGCATTACTGTACAACTGTCCGCTAGCTATCCATTATTACTGCACAACTGTCCACAAGCTATGCATCGTTACTGCACAGCTGTCCACTAGCTATGCATTCTTACTGCACAACTGTCCACAAGCTATGCATCGTTACTGCACAACTGTCCACAAGCTATGCATCGTTACTGCACAGCTGTCCCCTAGCTATGCATCACTACTGCACAACTGTCCACTATCTATGCATTATTACTGTACAACTGTCCAGTAGCTATTCATTATTACTGCACAACTGTCCAGTAGCTATTCATTATTACTGCACAACTGTCCAGTAGCTATGCATTATTACTGTATAACTGTCCACTAGGTATGCATTAATACTGCACAACTGTCCACTAGATATGCATCGTTACTGCACAACTGTCCACAAGCTATGCATAGTTACTGCACAACTGTCCACTAGATATGCATCGTTACTGCACAACTGTCCACTATCTATGCATCATTACTGCACAACTTCTGTCCGCTAGCTTTGCATCGTTCCTGCACAGCTGTCCACTAGCTATGCATTTCTGCTAGCTATGCAGCATTACTGTACAACTGTCCAGTAGCTATTCATTATTACTGCACAACTGTCCACTAGCTATGCATTATTACTGTACAACTGTCCACTAGGTATGCATTACTACTGTACAACTGTCTGCTAGCTATGCAGCATTACTGTACAACTGTCCGCTAGCTATGCATTATTACTGCACAGCTGTCCACTAGCTATGCATCACTACTGCACAACTGTCCACTAGCGCTGCCTCATTACTGCACAACTGTACACTAGCTATGCATTACTACTGTACAACTGTCTACTAGGTATGCATTACTACTGTAGAACTGTCCACTAGCTATGCATTTCTGCTAGCTATGCAGCATTACTGTACAACTGTCCGCTAGCTATCCATTATTACTGCACAACTGTCCACTAGCTATGCATTATTACTGTACAACTGTCCACTAGCTATGCATGACTACTGTACAACTGTCCGCTAGCTATGCATCGTTACTGTACAACTGTCCGCTAGCTATGCTTTATTACTGCACAACTGTCCACAAGCTATGCATTATTACTGTACAACTGTCCACAAGCTATGCATTATTACTGTACAACTGTCCACTAGCTATGCATTACTACTGTACAACTGTCCGCTAGCTATGCATCATTACTGTACAACTGTCCGCTAGCTATGCATTATTACTGCACAACTGT